CAAAAGATAAATGACAATTAGATAGAGATATTTGCAATCTATGTCTTAGGCAAAAAACTAATATGCTTAATATATAGAAAAGTCTTAACTACAAAGATCCAGAGAAAGTGCTAAGGAATCCTATAGACCAAATTATATTGTCATAGAGTGTGCATGTACGAGTATGTAACAACAAGTCCCCTTATTATGTACAACTTTCTTCAATGTTCTATACTTTATATTGTGGAGGTCTTTCACCTCCTTGGTTAGATTCATTCCTAGTTATTTTATGGGTTTGGGAGGCTATTTTGAAAGAAATTCTTTTCCTGATTACTTTCTCAGCAGATTCGTTGTTGATATAAAAAAAGATTACTAATGTTTGTACATTGATTTTGTTACCTGCCACTTTGCCAAATTTGTATATTAGCTCTAGCAGTCTTTTGATGGAGTTTTATGGATCTTCTATGTATAGGATCAATTGCAAATAGTGATAATTTGAGTTCTGATTTTTCTACTTTTAGCCATTTTAGTTCCTTTCTCTTACCTAATTTACTACAATAAACAGGAACAGTGAGAGTAGACATCATGTCTTGTTTCATATTTCAAACAAAATGCTTTCTGTTTTCCCCCATATACTGATATTGGCTTTGGAATTGTCACATACCCTTTATGGTGGTGAGGTAGGTTCCTTCTATCCTTAGTTTCTTCAGTATTTTTATCATGAATGAGTAGTAAATTTTGTCTATGACCTTGTCTACATCTATTGAGATGACTAAGTGATTTTTGTCCTTAATTCTATTTATATGATAAATTATAGTTATTGATATGTGTATGCTGAACCATCCTTACATCTCTGGGATAAAACCAACTTGCTTGTGATATATAATCTTCTTAATATTTGTTGATCATGATTTCTTAACATTGTATTAAGAATTTTTGCATGTAAATTCATTAGGAATACTGATCTATACTTTCATTTCCTTGATGTGTGCTCATCTGGTTTTGATATAATTGTGATACTGATTTCATAAAATGAATTTTGAAATGTTCCATTAATTTCTATTTCATGAACTAATTTGAGGAGTATTATCATTAGTTCTTCTTTAAAAATCTGGAAGAATTCAGCTGAGAATCTATTGGATCCTAAACTTTTCCTTGCTGAAAGGCTTTTTATTTCTGCTTCTATCTTATTATATGTTATTGATCTTTCATCTTTTTTATATATTGGTCCTTTTCAGTTATACATAAAAATAGGTTCCATTTTGACATATAAAAGTATGAGATATATTTTCAGATTCTATTTTTGGCAGATCATATGTGTCTAGAAATTTATTTATTTATTTTAGGTTTTCTAATTTTTTGGAATATATGTTTTCAAAATAGTCCCTAAATATCTGCTTTTTCTATGATGCCTGTGGTGATTTCTCCTTTTTCATATTGAATGTTGTTATTCTGGGGTTTCTCTCTTTTCTTTTTATTAGTCTATCTGAGGGCTTATCAATCTTGTTGAATTTTTCAAAGAACCAACTCTTTTGTTTCATTGATCTTTGTATTTTTTATCTCAATTTCATTGATTTCAGCACTGATATTAATTATCTCCTTCCTTCTACTGGTGTAGGAATTTATTTATACTTTTTCACAAGCCTTGAGATGTATCATTAGAGATCTTTCTGATTTTCTTATGTAGGCACTCATAGCTATAAACATTCCTCTTAGAACCACATACATAGTGTTTCAGAGGTTCTAGTATGCTGTATAACTTTTCTCTTGAGTCTAAGAATTTTTTAAACTTTCACATGATTTCTTCTATCATTCCTCCATCATTCAAAAGTCATTGTCCTATCTCCATGTTTATATAGTTTCTGTAGGTTTTGTCATGTTGATTTCTAATTTTTTTCCATTATGATCCAATAGGATGCAAATAATTATATCTTTTTTTTTGCATTTGCTAACAGTTGCTTTGTGGCCTAATATATGGTCTATTTTGAAGAAGGTTCCATGAGCCACTAAGAAGGATGTGTACTCAGCTGTTATTGGATGAAATATTCTATAGATGTCTGTTACAGTCCTTTGATTTATAATATTTTCTATGGCCAAAGAGACTTATTGAGTTTATGCTTGGATGACGTATGTAATAGCAAGAATGGTGTGTTGAAATCACTCAGTATTATTGTACTGGAATCTACCTAAGGCTTCCACTTGAGTAGTGTCTCTTTTATGTAATTAGTTTCACCCATATTTGGGCCATAAACATTTATTATTGTCATATCGTCTTGTTGGATTATTCCCTTTAGCAGTATGAAGTGACCTTCTTTGTTTCTTCTTATTAATTTTGATTTGAAGTCTGCTTTGTCAGATAGGAGAGCAGTACTCCTGCTTGTTTGGGATACTTTATTTGCATGATACATCACTTTCAAATTTTTCTGTCTTTGCCTGAGTCTCTTACAAACAACATATAGTTGGTTCTTGTTTTATAATTTCCTCTGCCAGCCTATCTTCTAATTAGAGAGTTGAGACCCTCTACATTCAATGTTATTATACAGAGATGTTTATTAAATCTTGTTATT